CTGAGGTCACAACCTGAGCTGAAACCAAGAGTCAGATGCTTAGCCGACCGAGCTCCCCAGGCGCCTGGATATCCGCCTTGAGAACTGTCAGACCTCTGTTTGTCCCTGCTCAGGCTGCTGCTGGTAGGAGCCAGGAAAAATGGGCTCCTTCTCCTAGGACGGCCCCTGAATAGCCTCACCAGCATGTGCTGGCCCAGGCACAGGGAAAGGGGTGCCAATGGGAGCCTCCAAACCAGAGAACAGCTCTTGGTCCTCCTGCCCTGCATGCGCCCCTCACCCACCACCCTCTTCACTTGCCCCTTAGAAGGGGACCAGGAATCTGGCCTGGTCACCATGCTCCAATGCATTTGGACCTCATCCCAGGCTCACTGCAGGCTGAAGGCCTGTGGGCACTGCTTGTACCCTTCACTCTCTCCTTCCCAAGTGCCCAGGACCTGGCACGGGAAGCATTCATTCACCCACATAAAGTGGGGATAGATAAGAACCTCACGCTGAACTTCATGGAAAAAAAAAAAAAGGTTAACTTTTATTTATGCATAATTCTTTTTTTTTTAAGATTTTATTTTTTTATGACAGACAGAGAGAGAGGCAGACACAGGCAGAGGGAGAAGCAGGCTCCATGCAGGGAGCCCGATGTGGGACTCGATTCTGTGACTCTAGGATCACACCCTGAGCCAAAGGCAGGCGCTAAACAGCTGAGCCACCCAGGGATCCCTGGGTGAAGTATTCCTATGAAACCCAGACGTCTGGGGACCCCCAGTCCAGTTTATGGTGACAAGGTGGGGCCTAGGACAAGAGTAAGAAGGAGGTCTGCATTGCAGAACCCAGACCGCAGAGGTCATGACCCTGCTCCTTCCTACAGGAGCCTGCAGTGGGGGGTGCGACAGAGGCCCTGAGCACACAGGGCGGCCAGCTCCTTCCCACTTGGGGTCTTCCTAGGGCTTCACACACAAGACACCCTGGGAGGAGGAGCCAGCGTGGATTAAGGAAGACAGGGAGGGTGACCAGGAGCAGCCAAGGTGTCCGAAGGCCTGGAGCCCTCTCAGTGGGTGCAGGCCTCTAGCTGGAATGGAAGCCATGGGGGCTGAGGCCAGATGTCAGCTGGGCCCAGGGTGGCAGCACCACCAGCCTGCAAGAGCCAGGGAGGAGGGGAGGAAGGAGAGGTAGAGGGGGTAGGGAAGGGAGGAGGGGAGGAAGGAAAGGGAGGGGAGGGAGGGAGGAGGGGAAGGGAGAAGGGGAAGGGAGGGAGGAGGAAAAGGAAGAGGGGAGGGGAGGGGAGGGAGGAGAGGGGACTGGAGCTGACGAGGGGCAGGTGGGACAGGGGAGGGTGGGGGTGCCGCCGCACCCCCTCCTGCACAGGGTGGGCTGGGAGGCCCTGGAGGTGCCTTGGATCCAGGTGCCATAGAGACAGCAGTCCCCCAGGTGTGAGCGTTGCCACGGGGACCTTGAGATGCTGGAGGCCCGAGGGCACCAGGCTGCTCTGTGGGCCTCACATGGCTCCCCTTGTTACTTGGCTCAAAACTGCTGCTCCCGGTGCCTCCGGCGGACCTGCACCTTCCCGCACCTTCTCTGGCGAAGGCCTGTTTTTCTTCCAGGCTGTCCCGGTCTGGTGGGCGGAGGAGCATCCTTCCTCGGTCCCTCACCTCTCTGGACTGGATGACCTTTGCCCTACCCTGTACTTTCAAAGTTTTCCTACTTACACAACAGTTTTTTTAAAGGAATCTCCTCCCCCTCACGGGCTTGAACTCTCGACCCGGAGACCAGAAGTCCCCACAGTTCCGCGGAGGGTCCCCCAGGCGCCCCTACTTACAAAGCACTTTTGAGGACACGGTCAAGTGACCGCCGTTGCCTCCCTGTCTCCCCGGGTTCCTGGCCCTCTCGCTTACCCCTGTACCTGCGGGGTGTGTTCTAAGTCGCCCTCTAACGTTTTAGTCATTTTGTTCTCAACAGTGGCCCAACCTCTCTCATTGGAACTCGCCCTTGTGGCACGTGATGGGGACAAGGGCCGCTGCCATCCCTGGCGGGGGGGGGGGGGGGGGGACAGCCTCGGGGCTCCACGGGAGGCCCCCAGGGGGGTCCTGGGCTTCTTCCCGGGCGTGCGCAGTACTTAGCGCGGCCCCCCACCCAGTAGCCCAGGCCACCCGCCCTGGACACAGCCCGGGAGGAGGGGCCCAGGAGCTGCACACTGAGGCAACCCTCTGGAGCAGCAGAGGAGGAAGGCTGGTGGGGACCTGAGCCCAGCCCAGGGCGGGGATAGGCTTCCAGTGCTCAGCACTGACCACAGCTGCTGTCCCAGCACCACCCTGGCTCAGCCTCGTGCCCTAAAATTGCAGCTCAGCAAAATCAAGATGTGACTTCTGTCCCTTTAAGTTAAGAATGGCCAGCTGGCCGGAGGTGAGGGGGGCCCAGCCAAGACCCGGGGAACAAAGGGTCTCTTTGCTGGCATCACACCTGGGCCCCCGTGCTCCACCCTTCTGCAACTTTACGGCCCCTGGGCTGGCTGGGTCAGTGTCCCCCTCCCCCCTCCCTTCCTTCCCCTGCCTTCCCCTCCGTGAGCTCTCAGCCAACAACCCCTACACAGTGCCCAAGACACACCCACAGGTAAAGCCAGTCTTCCATCCTGGCCGCCTGCCGGGTTCCCTCCCCAGTCCATCAGCATAACCTGCCCCCGGGTGCTTCCAGCCGGTCTGGGCCTTCCGTGCGTGCTAGGTAAAAAAGAAAAAAAATCCTACAGGGCGTTCTGGGGACTCAATTGGTGAAGCATCCATCTCTTGATTTTGGCTCAGGTCCTGATTTCAGGGTCGTGAGCCCGAGAGCCCCTTTCCTGCTTACGATTTTCCCTCTCCCTCTGCATCCCCCTTAAAAAAAAAAAAAAGAAAGAAAAAATAAAAAAAACTTCCTGCAAAATTTTGTAGGTAGCTTTCTGTATACACTGTTCTGCTGTTTCCTTTTCTGAGCCAAAGCGGCATCTGGCGCCGTTTCCCACTCAGTACGTGCAGCTTGCCGGCTTCTCTTTGACAGCTGCTCTCTGTGGCTGCGTGAATCCCTGTGAACACCCGTGGCCTAACGACCTCGATGGGGAGTGGACCCGCCGCAGCACAGAGTGGCCTCTCCCCTCCTGAGCCTCCCTGGAGAGCGACTGGAGCAGAGTGGATCCCACAGCTTCCGGGAGCCCCAACCTCTGCTCCCTAACACCCTTCTGGCGGGATTGAACTTTTTGACCTTGGCAGGTTTGTCAGGCAGAAGACAAGACATCTGTGGTTTTCAGCTTGCATCTCTCCAAGGAGGGGAGGTTGGGGTCTGTTCCGCTGCATTTGGGCGTCCGTCCCAGAGTCTCCTCGGCTTTGCGGGAGAGTGGGCATTGTGCTCTTGATTTGCAGGGCTTCTCCATCCCAGGCACTTCATTCTCAACTCATTCAGATCGGCCCTTCGCCATCCGAGCCAGCCGCGAGCCTGGTCCGAGTGCAGCAGGTTCTCACCCGCCGGAAGCAGCAGCGCGCTCCGCAGAGCCTGCATCTTCCCTGGTTCAGTTTCAGTCTCTCGTCCAGCCTTCTGAGTTTGGGGTCATCTTTAGAAATGCCTTCGTTTCCCCAAGACTCTGAAAAAGTTCCCCCAAGTTTTTTTTTTTTTTTTTAAGATTTTATTTATTTATTCATGAGAGACAGAGAGAGGGAGAAGCAGGCTCCCCACAGCAGCCTGATGTGGGACTCCATCCGGGACCAGGACCTGAACCAAGGGCAGACGCTCAACCATCCAGGCAGCCCAGTTTTTTTTCTTTAACCCCTAAATCCTTAACATGTTTGGAATTCAACCCCACGTGAAAGGTGAGGGCAAATTCCACTCACTCAGGCGAATCGGCATCTTATAGAGGACAAAATTCCCACAAGTACATGGAGCTTTTTCATTTTCCCGTGGAAGTGTGTTCTTTACGCTCTGGCGGCTTCATGGTGTGGAGGACCCGGAGGCCCTGCCTGCGGGGCCGCTGCCGGCGGAGCACTCGGTGGGGGCTCAGTGGATGCTGGGCCGTGGCTCCAGTCCCCCCCCCCCGCCCCAGGGCTCGGTACGCGGCGTCCCGCCCACGGCTCTGGGACCCCGACACTCGCGACCCACGACCCACGGACACCTGCGACTGCACCTGCACGAGGCACTAGGGACATTCCGCGCATCGCCTCCGCCTCAAACGCGGTGGATTCCACATTCGTGCCCCGCCACCTTCCCCTCTGAACCCCTGGTTCCCGCACCCCCTCGGTCCCACGTCCCCCGCGCGTGCCCCTGGGTCTCCCGCCAGCCCCCGACCCGGGGGCCCTCTCCGTCCCACGTGCCTCGTGTGCCCCGCTGGGTCTACTGTTCTCAGTGACACCTGCTGTTCTCTCTTGCTCCAGCCCCGGCCCTGAGTCCCACTCCACCACCCCCCGCCCCCCCCCCCCGTCTCCCTCCGGCTCCCACGCCCCCTGCTGGGTCTCGCCCCGCCCCGCTCCCACGCCCACGCCCCGCGCTGGGTCTCGCCCCGCCCCTCCCACGCCCCCGGTCTCGCCCCGCCCCTCCCACGCCCCCCCGGTCTCGCCCCGCCCCGCCCCACGTGCCCCGCGCGCACCGCGTGACCTCCATCCTGTCCCGCTCCGCGTCCCCCCGTTTGCGCGGGGTGTCGGGTCGGCACCCCTAGTCCACGACCTCCCCGTGACCCGAGCGCCTCCCGGTGCCCCAGGTCCGCTTGGCGCCGCCCCCGCGCCCCCTCCCGCCCCCGCCCGCGGGTCCGGCTCGGGCCCTGCTCGCGGCGGGGCGGGGCCAGGAAGGCGGAAGTGCCCGGGGCGCCGGCGGCGGGGACCGGCCGGACGATGGGAGCCCGGGGCAGAGGCGGCGGCGGGGGCCGTAGTGGCGGCGGCTGCCCGGGCGGCGGCGGGCGGCGGGGGACGCGGGCCGGGTAGCGCCGGGCGGAGCGCGGAGCCATGGGCCGGGCCAGGCCGGGGGCCGGGGGAGCGGCGGGGGCGGCGGGGGCGGCGGCGGTGGTGGCGGCGGTGGCGGGGCCGCTGCTGCTGCTGCTCGCTCGGGCCCTCCCCGCGGCCGCCGGTGACGGCAGGAGGAGCGGTGAGCCGCGCGGCCCCGCGGGCGCCATGGGGTGCAGCCGGGGGTGGGGGGATTGTGACTTGGCTGGGGCGCCTGTGCGCTCACCTGCGGCGGCGGCGGCGGGGCAGGTGGGCTGGGAGGACGCCGGCGCCCCTACCTGCCGCCGCGGCCCACTTCGCCGACGCGCCCTGGAGCGCGCGGCCCCTCGCGGGTCCCTCCCGGCGCGCGGGGCGGTGGAGGGGCGTGGGGGGGAGTGGAGTGGCGCAGGGCGGTGGAGGGGCGTGGGGGCGTGGAGGGGCGCAGGGCTGGGCTGGGGCAAAGGGCGGTGGAGGGGCATGGGGGGTGTGGGGGGGTGTGGGGCGTGGAGGGGCGCAGGCCTCAGCTGGGGCGCAGGGCGGTGGGATTCCGGGCCCCTCTGGCCTCAGAGGCGGGAGAAAGTTGTTGGGTCCGGGAGTGGGCCCCGCGGGCGTCCATCCTCACCCTCCACAGGGTCACAGCCAAGCCCCGGGCGGTGACCCCCACAGCTGGCCTTGCTTCTTGGCCGCTGGCCTCCAGGTGGACCTGAGGAGAGGGGTAGGCCTGGGCGGTTTTGCCCCAAGAGAGTCCCCTCCCTGGACTGAACCCCCAGGAAGTGGCTCCTCAGGGTCCTGCCTGGGGGAGAGACACTTGGAGGTGTCAAGCCCCCTGAGCGTTGCCTTGGTCTCCCGGGGCCCAGATGCCTGGCGGCTGGCACAGCCTGGGGCGCTCCCCTCCACTCCTGGCTCCCTGCCCCCCCCTTCTCTGAAACCCTCCGAGCTCCTGTGTCTTTGAGGGCTGGGCCTCCGCTTGGCACAGCTCTACTTGAAAGGTGGTTTTGCGGGAGATTGGTTGCTGGTTCAGCTGCTCCGCTGGATGTTGCCACCTTTGTGTCCATCCTCCTCTCCATCCTGAGGTCAGGGCTGGGTGAGGGCTCCCAGGTGGGGGGCGCAGGCCTGCAGACAGGGCAGACCGCTGGTCCTGACATCTGTGCCCAGGCAGGGTGTCCTTACCGGGTACTTGCCCTGCTCCGGAGGGTGTGGGTAGTGTGCCCTCACGTGGGTTCCCAGTACAGGTTCACGGACTTTCTTCCAACTGATCCTGTGTTCTTGGAGGGGCCCACAGGGCAGGGTAGGGTGCAGGAGGCTGGTGCCCCCTGATACGGGTAATGGGCTCCTGTTCAGCAACGTAACTGCGTGGCAGGAGGTCTGGCCGTGGGGCTGGGATGCTGGAGGGGACATGTCGTCCTGGTAAGGGGTTCCCTGGGTCTCAGGGCGACCTTGAGCAGGTCTCTTATCTCCTGTGCACCTGGGGAAATGTCACAGCTACCACCTGTGTTCCAGGTGTCCGCAGGCTGGCGCTCCCGCGCTGGCGGCTGCCGGATGTCTTTGCCAGATGTCTTTGCCCCGTTCAGGCCAGGGTGCTGGGTGCCCCGCTGGTGGACGGCTCTAGGACTCAGCCCACAATGGGGGGAATGGGACCCGGTGGCCAGCGGCCACCTGGGAAGTCTGGACTCCGTCCCGCATAGAGCCTACCCCTGAGCTCTCTGCTATGTGGGCTCCTCTGGACCTCAGACCGGCTGTGCAAGTGGGTTCCTATCGTTTCTGCCATTGCTCCGCCAGCTCCTTCCCTGCTCACCTGGCTTAACCTGGAGGGGCCCAGGCCTGCTATGGGGGTGATGGCAGGCAGCCTGTCTCCCAGTGGAGAGGAAGAGGCCACACCCTCCTGCGTCCACAGCGGGGGTGGGGGTGGGGGGATGTTCTCCCGGAAGCACTTTAACATCCATTAACTTCAGAGGACAGGGTGCCTGAGGGGAGGTGCTGTCTGCCTCAGCCAACTCAGGAGGAAGCTGGGACCCAGAGGAAGGAAGGAACATCCAAGGTCACAGGAGGCACGGGCCTGACGGGGCCTGAGCTGGTGCTGGGGCCAAACTGCCTGCCATCGAGCCCAGGCACCTCACGGCCCGCACCCCTGGCTAGCTGCCCCCGAGAACACAGAGAACATTTAGGGTGTTTCTGTTCTGTGGGAGCCCCGAGAGGGAGGGCTGTGGGTGGGCAGTGCTCGTGGGGCCAGACGCCTGCTCTGGTGCAGGCTGTGCTGGGCACACACTCCCAGGAGGGCCCTAATCGGCGGTGAGGCCTCAGGCCTCGGCTGAGCCCCCGACCACTCAGAGCTGGCCCTAGAAACGTTGGCAAGACAGGGTGAGCATCGGGTACAAACTCTGAGAGCAGGGAGGGGAGGGGAGCCAGGGAGCTTTGCACACAGGTGGGGACCTGAGAGCTCTATGCCAGGGGCAGAGGGGCGCTCCAGGCTGGGGCCGTGGGCACTTTGCTGCCAGGGGCCCCGGCCATGCCTCTGTGCAGTCTGCATGAGCACGAACCCACCAGAGTCCAGGAACCAGCTGGTCCTCTGTCATCACCGCGGGCCAGGCTTCCGGCTGGGGCCCCGTCCCCCCAGGTCTCTGCTTGCCTCCCCGCCAGACTTTAGTTTGGCTGTGCCTCGGGTCATCATGGGCCTGAGCAGGTAGCCGGTCTCCAGGCCTGAGTCTCCTCACCCAAGTGGAACCCCACCAGGGGACAGGGGAGGCTCAGAGGAGGGGGAGCAAGGGTTCAGGGGTCCCATGCCCAGGGCCAAGAGGAGGTGGGTCCGGAGCTCCCATGCGGCACACTTCCTGCGTCCCTCAGCCTCCGTCTCCTGGCCCCGGAGCTGCCCGGGCTACATGACCACGTGTGGGAGGGTGTGCGGGGACGTGCTTCGAAGGTCTCAGGCATTTGGGGTTCCCGACATCGGGGAGCTCATTGCGGAAGCTGCCCAATGGGCGCGTTGTCGCTGGTTGGGGGAGAGCTGGCTTCAGGGTCCGAGGCTGTGTCGTCCGGGGATCAACGACGTGGGGCCGGGGGTTGGAAGGATGCAGCCTGGCCCGGTGGGACAGCAGGCGGAGAAGCTGCCAGGGCGGGAGAGGACGGTGCTGCATTGGGGTCAGCGAGCCAGGTGCCTGCCGGGGCTCCGCTCACGTCTCCGTGGGACCGCGTGGGGAGGCGGGCGCCATGGGCGCCGCGGCCTGGCTCACAGCCCCTTCTACCTGCAGACGTCAGGCTGGTGTCCGAGCAGTTCTCGCAGTCTCCACAGAAGCTGTCTTTCTACAGCTGGTACGGCAGCGCCAGACTCTTCCACTTCCGCGTGCCCCCTGACGCCGTGCTGCTCCGCTGGCTACTGCAGGTGTCCCGGGGCGGCAGCCCCGCCTGCAGCCACGCCGAGGTCACCGTGTAGGTACTGCCGCCCGCTGCCGCCTGCCCCGCGCCCCGGGCCTGCGCCCAACCTGCCGCTCTCTGCCCGCAGGTACTTCCGCTACGGCGCGCCTCCTGTTATCAACCCCTTGGGCACCGACTTCCCCGCCAACACCTCCATGCAGTCCCCCTTCTTCATCAAGATGCTGCAGAGCAATGCGTCCGTCAATGTCTCCCACCCAGCGCCCGGGGACTGGTTTGTGGCTGCCCACTTGCCTCCCTCATCCCAGAAGATTGAGGTGAAGGTAAAGGGGCCGCTTTGAGGGGTGGGGGCAGGGCCCTCAGTGCGGGACCCCCCTCCCCCCACCCCCGTCATTTATGCCCTTGGGGCAGCTTTTGCTTTAGGATTCACTGCCCTGCTTCCCTGTGCGCTGCTGCAGCTCAGTGGTCAGCCCTGACCTCCTCTGCCACCGGCCCCATGGGACCCCTGCTCCGGCCCTGACCCCCCCACCAGGCCCCCTGCTCTGGCCCTGACCCCCCGCGGGCCCCTTGCTCTGGCCCTGATCCCCCGCCAGGCCCCCTGCTCCGGCCCTGACCCTGCTGGGCCCCTGTTCCGGCCCTGACCCCCCCAGGCCCCCTGCTCCGGCCCTGACCCCCCCGCGGGTCCCCTGCTATGGCCCTGACCCCCACACCCGTCTCTCCTAGGGTTTTGTCCCTCCCAGTTGCGTGTACACTTTCCATCCTGACATGCTGGTCGTGCGGGCAGTCGAGGTCTCTATCCTGGAGCCTGATGTTCCCCTTCCACAGACTCTCCGTTCCCATCCCAGCTACCTCAAGTGAGTGGGACCTCAGGGAGGCCCTGCCTCTGGGTGTGATGGACTGGGTGGTCCCCGTGCCCTCACCGTGGGTCCTGGGTCTCAGGGCCCGGCGGCCCCCCCCCTTCGGCCAGCACCTCGTGGGAATGACGCAGGAGGTGGTGCAAGTCAGGGAGCCTGAGCAAGAGCATGTCCCTTTGGCCACAGAATCTTCATCCCCGAGTACACCCAGGAGCTGCGGCTGGAGCTGCAGGGCTGTGTGACCAATGGGAGCTTGGGCTGCCCCGTGCGCCTGACCGTGGGCTCAGCCACCCTGCCCAGAAACTTCCAGAAGGTGCTCACGTGCATCAGCCTCACCTGGTCCTGCCGCCTGCTGCTGCCCTCGCCACCCTGGGAGCGGTGGCTGCAAGTGACGGCCAAGAGCCTGGCAGGACCTCACGTGTTGGTGGCTTTCAGGGCTGTGGCTGCCCTCACAGGTGGGCTGTGTGCAGAGGGCGGGTGCGCGTGGCTCTGCCCCCGCCGGACCCCCAGCCCCCTGCAGCTGAGCCCCATCCTCCAACAGCCTGCAGGCCGTGGACCATGAACTTGCAGCACCTCCTGCAGAGCAGCCCAAACCGCAGCTGTAACGCCTCCGCGGCTCTGCTGCCCCCTGGCGCGGGCTCCTGGGTCCCGGGCAGGAGCTGCGGGGTGGGCGGTGGCCCCTTCTGCCTCACGAGCTACCCGGTCATTCGGGAGGACACAGACGTGCTGTCTGTGCGCTTCTGGCCCGCGGACCAGGTGTCGGTGCTGGTGCAGTCGGGCACCCCGTCGGTGATGCGGCTGTACCTGCACACGGGCACGGACAGTGGGGGCTCCCTCGGCATCTCCCTGCAGGCCAACCAGGTATCTCCCGTGTGCGTGCCTCGGGCCTGGCTCAGCGCGGGGCGCACCCGCCCACGCACCATGCTTGGCTCCTCCTGCACTGACAGGCTCGGACTCGGGGTCAGCCTTTGGGGGGATGGGGACCGTGCAGGCACCGGGGCGGGGGAGGGCTGTGTTCTCAGGGCCATGGTGAGGGAGATGGGCTGTGGCCGGGGTCAGGCCGGGGGGCCCCAGCCCTGGAGGGGCCACAGAGGACAGTGGCCAGTGCCGGGTAGAGCGGGAACGCGGGCCTGAGCTCAACGCGGCCTGTCCCCCTAGACGGCCATGACCAACAGCACCAGGGTGGCCGTCTGCGTGAACGCCGCCTCGCCCTTCCTCAGCTTCAACGCGTCGCTCAACTGCACCACAGGTACGGGTGGGCCGCACCGCCAGCTGCCCCCGCCGCCGCGCCCCTGCCACCTCTGAGCAGGCCCCCCACTTGCCCGCAGCCTTCTTCCAGGGCATCCGCCTGTCTCTGAGCGCCGCATCCCGCAAGGCTGACCTCATCGTCCCCTACCCGGAGACGGACAACTGGTACCTCTCCCTGCAGCTGGTGTGCCCCGAGAGTCCTGAGTGAGTACACCTGGAGACCCGGGCACTACCGGGGGCAAGTGGCTGAACCCCAATGGCGGGACCGCGCACAGGGCTGCCCGCTCGAGGTCTGGAGCCACCAAGCGTTCTGCAAGCCTCGCGCAGTCAGTTGCCTTCTGGGCAAGACGAGGCATTCATCTCATGCACCTGGTCACCCTTGTTGCTGCAGCCCCGGGGGCAGTGCAGGGAGCCTGGGACCCGGGGCAGGCCGAGGGGAAGGGCACATCGGCCTCGCAGAGCCCTCAGCTGCTGTCCTCCGACACGTCGAGCCTGGGGGCCTCAAGTGTGGTTCCGTGTGTCCAGGAGGCTGCTGGGAGCCCTGACGAGGGCCCGGCCAGCGCAGCTCAGCAGCCGGCTTTCCTGTGCCCCTTTCCCACAGGGAGTGTGAGCAGGCTTCGGTCCTCGTGGAGACCGCCTTGTACCTGGTACCCTGTCTGAACGACTGCGGACCCTACGGCCAGTGTCTCCTGCTGCGCAGACACAGCTATCTGTACGCAGGCTGCAGCTGCAAGGCCGGTGAGGGCCAGGCCTGGAGGCTCCAGACACTTTTTTGTTTTGTTTTTTCTTACATTTATGTATTTAAGCAGTCCTCACACCCAGTGTGGGGCTCGAACTCATGACTCCGGGAGCAAGCGTGGCAGGCTCCTCCGGCTGAGCCACAGGAGCCCCGCCTCCAAACACTTCTGCCTTTGGCATCTTGGCCCTGTGCCTTCCTCGGAGAGCCCATCTCCGTTCTGTCAAGGCCAGAGTGCAACTCTGCAGAACAAGGGCAGATGCCTCCTCCCCGTGCCTACCATGCACCCACAGTCCCCCACCCCTGCACCCCAGGCACAGATGCCACCCCCGGAGGCAGTACTGCTTGCTGACCTTGGCCTCCCCTGCCCCACACCTGCCCCACACCTGCTGGGCCTAAACCACACCTGCTGGGCCTAACCGACACCTACTCCACACCTGCCCGGGCCTGCCTTACACTTGATCCTGACTTGCCCCACACCTGCCCCACATCTGGCCTATACTTGCCTGGACTTAACCCACACTTGTCCCACACCTGCCTAGGCCTAACCCACACCTGCCCCACACCTGCCACTGACTAGCCCCACACCTGCCCTTCGCCTGCCTGGGCCTAACCCACACTTGCCCCACACCTGCCCGGGCCTGCCCCACACCTGCCCCACACCTGCCTCACACCTGCCCAGGCCTAACCCACACCTGCCCCACACCTTCCCCGGCTTGTCCCAGTTGCTCCTGGGTGAGGAAGGGGCTTCCCTGCAGGGCTCTAGGTGCGGGGTAGGCCCTGACGTTCAGGAGCACCCCGCGGGCCTCAGCCCCCTTGCCATCCCTTGGGCCCGCAGGCTGGCGTGGGTGGAGCTGCACAGACAACAGCACGGCGCAGACCGTGGCCCAGCAGAGGGTGGCCACACTCCTCCTCACCCTCAGCAACCTCGTGTTCCTGGCGCCCATCGCTGTCTCCGTGCACCGCGCGCTGCTGGTGGAGGCCTCCGTCTACGCCTACACCATGTTCTTCTCCACGGTAGGCTGGCCGCGCCCCCCTGGGTGCAGGGCAGGGGTGGGCTACGTGGGCCGCAGCCACTCTCACCACCCCGTGTGCAGTTCTATCACGCGTGTGACCAGCCCGGGGAGGCGGTGCTGTGCATCCTCGGCTACGACACGCTGCAGTTCTGTGACTTCCTGGGCTCGGGGGTGTCCATCTGGGTCACCATCCTCTGCATGGCGCGGCTGAAGGCGGCCCAGAAACACGTGAGTGACTCCTGACGCCGGGCTGGGCCCCGGCACGCGGCCTGCTGAGGACGAGACCAGAGCTAGAGCTCGGCTCTCGGGGGCCTCCCAAGGCTCGTGGTGCCTCCTGCTGCGAGGCGGCCGACGAGCAGGGACTCGGGTGGGCGGGTTCAGTGAGGCCCCCGGCTGTGCTGCTGCAGTCCCTGGTGCTGAGGACACTCTGGGGGCTTTTCCGCCTCAGGTGGCCCTGGCTGATGGAAACACGGGCTCCGGTGCCCTGCCTGGCCACGCTGGTGCCTCCGACATTCACTGTGGACGGACCCATGGGAGCCACGGGTCCCAGCAGTGCAGGGGCTGAGGTGGTCATCTGCCCCCCAGCCAGCAACCCTAGGGGGTCTGGGCTGTGGGTACAGCAGCATGGTCACTGTCCCCGGGCTGCTTGCACCCGTTGGACCTCATGTTGCTGTAAACGGCTCTGGCCTGTGACCCTGTGGTCACCCCGTGTCTTGCCCAGGTCCTGTTTCTCCTGGGGACGCTGATCTTCGCCATGTCCTTGCAGCTAGACCGCAGAGGTGCCTGGAACACGCTGGGGCCTTGTCTCTTTGCCTTTGTGGTCATGGTCACCATGTGGGTAAGGAGCTGGGACGGGCCAGTGTTCCTGCCCAGACCCCCCCGCCTCCGCCGCCCCGGTGGTTGGGCTGAGTCTGGCTCCCCCACACACCCTTACTCGGGACAAGACATCCTGGCCCTTCGTTGGGGCCGGATTCTTGCTCCTGGGCCTGAGTCCCCACACGTGCTGAGGGCCGCCAGGGACTCCCCACGGCCCGGCCCGAGAGCGGTCAAATGTCTGTGCGCACAGGCCCTCTCTGCAACTGCAGGACGGTGCCGCTGCCTGGACCTGGGTGGGCCCTGGGGGGCTGTGGCCGCAGCTCCCCAGCAACGCTCACCTGGCGGCTCCCCCAGGTGTACCGCTGCGGGCACCGGCGCCACTGCTACCCCACATCCTGGCAGCGCTGGGCCTTCTACCTCCTGCCTGGCATCTCCATGGCTGCTGTGGCCGTCGCCATCTACACCTCCATGATGACCAGCGACAACTATTACTACATGCACAGCATCTGGCACATGCTGCTTGCAGGAAGTGCGGCGTTCCTGCTGCCGCCGCGTGAGGAGCACACCAAGCCCTGGGCCTGCTCGCAGAAGCTCACTTGCCACTATCAGATCTGTAGGAACCACCGAGAGGAGCTGTACATGGTGACGTGATGTGGCCGGCTCAGGGACGCCTGCAGCTGTGATTTGACTCTCTGGCCAGGGGCAGGACCAAAGGAGAAGGACCCTGTCCAGATTGATTTCCAACAGAATAAAATTGCCCAATGCACTATTTGCTTCCTCCCGAGGGGAAGACCACACCCCCAACCCCCAATTCCATTGTGCCTGCTGGCTGCGGGCTCCCTGTGCGGGGGCCCCAGGGGCCTGGGCCTGGCTGCTTGGAAACCACAGGTACCACGCAGGGGCATGTTCTGTGTTCTGCTGCCTAGAGGTGGTTGGAGGTGGGGAGAAAGATTCCCCATGATCCCTGTTCCTCTGTGAGGTTCTGGCTTGAGCCCACCCCCTGCAGCCCCTGCCCCGTTGAGCCTGGGAGCTGTGCCTTCCCTACATCCCTGGATCCCTGATGGGGATGCTCCCTGCTAACGCGGACGTGTGGGGAGAGGGGACCACAGTCCGCAGGCAGGGAGCTGATGGGCCCTGGGGCTCCAGGAGAGGCTGAGGCCCCTGGGGAGAGGGCGGGGGGGGGGGGGTAGCTGCCCAGGAGTGCAGTGCCGCAGCCAGCCCGTGGGCTCCCGGTCCCTTGTGTGGGGACTTGCTCCCGGAGAGGAAGGGACCACTGCTGCCCCAATGGCCGAGCCACTGTTGGGGAGGAGGCTCCCAGGGACCCGACCCGCGCACCCCGTCCTTCGTGGGGGAAGCAGGAGGCGGCGGCAGCACCGCGGTGGGCTGCTGTCTGTGCCCGGGGCAGGGCTGGGCACCTGCGGCCCTGGGTGCCCGCGGCCCCCTTCACTTGGGCTCATAAAAAGGAAACATTTCTATGTAGCGTTTCGGGGGTTAAAAATTGGCAAGACATTTTTATGTAGCTCTGATTTTGCTGTGTTTGGTGAGTTTAATATTTTACAGTGATATTTTGAGACACTGCAGTGTTTTATTTTAGACAGGGGAGAGGGGCGGGTGGCGGGGGGAGGGGAGGGGCGGGTGGCGGGGGGAGGGGAGGGGCGGGCAGGGGGGGAAGAGGGGAGGGAGGCGGCCCGGGTCACAAGCCCCGCCCTCCGCCTCGGGTGAGGATGCGGCCTTGGCCTACGGTGCCTGGGGCTGCCGCCCTCGCCGCAGGGCATTTTCCACGGTCCCTAAGGACACGGAGGGGGCGGGGCGAGCGCTAGACTGACGGGCTCCTCGGCCAGCGGGTGGCGGCCGAGACGCGGCGCGTCACTTCCGGTTCCGGCGGGGCGGCGGGGTGGAGCGGGGGCGCCGGGATGCCGCTGCACAAGGTCCCGGTCGGCCTGTGGAGGCGGCTGCGGCTGCGGGAGGGCATCTGCTCGCGGCTGCCCCCGCACTACCTGCGCTCCCTGCAGGAGGCGCGCGCGCCCGCGCCGGTGCACTACAGGCCGCGCGGGGCCGGGGCCGGGGCCGGGGCGGGCGGCCGGCGGGAGCGCGTGCAGGACGTCCCCATCCCCGTGTACCGGCCGCCGGAGGCGCAGCTGGGGCTCTGGGGCGGGGAGGGCTGGGTCGTCGGCTACAGGTACGTCGGCGACGACAAGGTAGGTGGCGGCGGGCCCCGGCCCCGCTCCCCGCCTCCCGCCCCGCCCGGCCCCGGGGGAGGCCGCAGCAGCGCGCGTGACGTCTCTGTCCCTCCCTTAGCTCTCAAAGAGGGTGAAGAAGGTGTGGAAGCCACAGCTGTTGCAGCGTGAGCTCTACAGTGAGATCCTGGACACGAAGTTCGCTGTCACGGTGACGGCGCGGACCCTGGACCTCATCGACGCGGCCTACGGGTTCGACTTCTACATCCTGAAGGCAGGCCGGGGGCTGTGCGGGCGCAGGGCGGGCTTCCCCGGCGTGTCGTCCTGGGTGCAGGGTCCCCAGCGAGCCTTGCTGCCTCCTTCCCCGCCGTCGGGCCTCCCTTTGCTCTCGGGTGGCTGGAGGGCCCTGCCAGCAGCCCTGCCCCATGCATGGTCTCCTGCCAGACTCCAGAGGAGGACCTGTGCTCCAAGTTCGGGATGGACCTGAAGCGAGGGATGCTGCTGCGGCTCGCCCGACAGGATTCCCAGCTGCACCCCGACAATCCCCAGAAGAGGGCAGCCACCTACGACAAGTACAAGGTGGGGGCCTCCGTTGGTGCGTCATGCTCCCTGGGGGTCCTGTTGGCTGGCCGTCCTTCCGCTCACTGTGGGCCTGTTCCCCCCCCCCCCCCAAACGGGGCAGGAGTTTGTCATCCCGGAGGCAGAAGCCGAGTGGGTTGGCCTGACGCTGGATGAGGCTGTGGAGAAGCAGAGGCTCCTGGAGGAGAAGGTGAGCATGTGTGAGCACCGGCGGCTGAGCACCAGTGGACAGACGGGGTGGCGTGTGCTGGCCCAGGGAGAACCTGGCCTAGGGCTGCTGCACGTGGTGGGCCTGGGGAGGAACTGCCCTGATGGAGCCACAACCTTGGGTTCCGTGTGCTGTGCCCTCTCCCCTCGACGTGCTGATACTCTCCTGCTCCCCGGCTGACTTCATAAATTCATGGACAGAAGAATTCTTGGGGGCACCTTTGGTTTGCCCACGTGGCACCCCCTGCCCTGGGGTCTTCGCAGTCTCAGAGTTGTATTTTTGTATCTACATCCTGGAAAGTCTGGAGTGGATGGTTGCTGCTAGAACTGGGTATCCTCCATGGCCTAGGACCCCAAGGCAGGAAAGATGGGGACAGATGCCGGAGCCCTGTGTCCCCAGTGGAAGGTGGTTCTTGTCTCACGGACAGGGCTGTCCTCTGGGCTGGTGGCTGTAGGCCAAGCCTGAAGGGCCACGTTCCCCCTGATGCTTGGCCAGCAGCAGCTGCGTTCCTGCCTCCCCGGAGCAGCTCACTGTGACCCCGTCTCGCTCCTGCAGGACCCGAGCCCTCTGTTCAAGGTCTACGTGGAGGAGCTGATTGGGCAACTTGAGCAGCAGGCCCTGTCTGAGCCTGTGGTGGTGCAGAAGAGGGCCAGCAGGGAGTGACTGCGCGGGGTCCTGCCCCCCGCCCCCGCGGGCGCACGAGTCTGGTGGGGGCTGGTGGATGAACCCCATCTTCTGTGCTGGCTCAGTGGCTGCCAGGGCTGGATGGGCTTTGTAGAGCCCCAGGGGTCTCCTGTCCCAGGGCCTCCAGAGGTCTGGGGCTGGCTTGCTGCCTCTGTAGCCCCCTCTTCTCCCCTGAGGTGGAGACCCAGCTGGGGCGGCGCCAGTAAAGTCTGAACTTGTCCGTGTGTGTGCTGCTTTGCCTGGAAGCCCTGAGCGCTCCCAAATGGTCTTGGACCTTGTCGTGCCCTGCCCCCAGAGACCCGGATGTGGCTGAGCTGTGGGACCAGGGTTCCTTTTGGTGTCTTGCCATGTTTTGCCTTCCTCTGGAAGGGCCCAGGGTGGTTGGAGGCATCTGGCAACAGATGCTCTCTGTGTCCACATCCTCACCCGTGTGGCATTCTCCTGGGCAGAGGCAGGGAGGCTGTGGGCTGACTCTGGGAGTGGGGGAAGGCTCCTCTGGCGTGCCGTCCAGGGGGGTGGAGGATGTGGATCCCCTTGGGATGCTGGGCCCAGTGCCCTGAGACTTGGGGTGCCTTGATCCCCTTTCCCGGCCCTGTCCTGGGAGTACTGAGCATCAAGAGCCATTCAGATCACTCTGGGAGGACAGGGAGTGAGTGATGCCCCGACCTGGTCCTGGCAGCTGACCCAGGGGTGCCCGGCTCCCCTCAGGGTGCTGTGGACGTGAACACACCTGGGCTGTGCTGATGGAGGTGGAGGCCAGACGGAGCATGGCCGGTGAACCCAGCCACAGGAGGGCCCTGGAGGTTCCACAGCACAGGGAGGTCATTGAGGGGTGGGGCCTGCCCTCGGAGTGGTCCTGAGGTCTGTGTGCAAGGCTGAAAAATGTTCTCAGTCCCAGACTCCTCTGGGGTGCACTCTGGACTTGTATCTCTCTTTTTTTCTTTTTATGATTTTTTTTAAAGATTTTATTTTATTTATTCATGAGAGAGAGAGAGGGAGAGACACAGGCAGAGGGAGAAGCAGGCTCCCTGCAGGGAGCCCGATGTGGGACTGGATCCCGGGACCCCGGGGTCACACGACCTGAACAGAAGGCAGGCACTCAACCACTGAGCCCCCGAGGCGCCCCTCTGGATTCATATTTTGATGCACATGATTGTTTCTTCACGGGATGTTCCAACATAGGAAAAACATTGGTTTTTCATTTTTCAAAAACTTTACCAAACGTTGCCAGCGCCCAGCCTGCCCCTGCCCTGGTTGTGGCCTGCAAGGCCCGGCTGGGTTACTCGCACCGCAGCGACTGGCTCCGGCGCCGTGGCCGGCATCCTGGACTGGCCAGCCCTTCCAGCCCCCTCTTAATGGTTCCCACACTCGGCCCTGACCCGAATCTAGCAGACCCCTTCCTAGGGCTGTTCTGCTCGTGTCACCTGTCCACCCACCCCCTGCCCGCTGTGCACCCCGCGTGCCCCCAGGTCATTGGCTCTGGCTCCCAGCTGCCCTCACCGAGGCTACAGGTCAAGGTGGGCAGCTCCTACCAGGACCCCTGTGCTCCTGTGTCTGCTGGCGCCCCAGGGGCTTAGGGGTGGCCCAGGGCCTGTGGCTGGGGGAGGGTGGGCCGCGGTGGGGGTGGGTGGGCTCCAGCAGGCGCCTTCCTGTCTGTGCTGGAGGCCCAGTGGCGTTGCTGCATTCGGGGGTACAGCCCTGCTCTCCCTGGGGCATACAGCTTGCCCCAGGAATGGCCCCCACTCGCCTCCAGTGCTGCTGCTCAGTGGAAGGAGCTTGGTGTGGCCTCAGCAGGTCACCTCCCTCTCCAGAACCTACAGGGAGTGGTTCTGGCTGTGGCCCTTTTCGGGCAGAGTCAGAATCTGTTTGATCACGTTCTCACAAATACCGTCCGCCCAGGAGAGGTTCAGCGGTCAGCAAGGGACGTGCTCGCCGGCCCACCCCAGATAAAGCAGTAGCCCAGGTCTGGGAAGGTTGCCCCTCCAGAAGGTGGGAAGGGGGACACGGGGACCGTGCGTACTCACTGCTGCACCCCCACCGGAGCTGAGCGCTGGGAGCCCACCAGGCCACACGGCCCCCTCCAGGTCCTCTTCCTCTAGTCTGCCGTGTGTGCCCGCAGTCCCTCAGGCCTCTGGATTGGGGTTGGTGGTTGTACTGACCCCCGTCAAGCCTGCAGAAGGCCGAGTTGCCCTGTGCTGGCCCCGGTGCGCAGACAGGCTGCACCCCTGTCCCCCCCGTCGCCCCTCCAGGAGCCCCTAGGCAAGTCCCCAGGCTCGCCTGTTTCCGTGACGGCCCAACCAGTCAAGGACCACGGACACGAGGGTTGGCCGCTAGTTGTAGATGGGGAGGTCCCTTGGGACCTGGGCAGTGGAGCCCTTGCCAGTGCGACCGTCAACACCATGGGGTCCCAAGGCCCAGGAAGGGCAACTGAGGTCACAAGGGCGCGGCCCAGCCCAGCCCACGGCCCTGTGCCCAACCCTGTACGTGAGGGCTGTTGTGAGGCCCACGGTGTGCACGATGGTTCTCCCCCTGGAGCTGTGCCCCAGATGACCTCCGAGGGGAGCCCCGGGTCAGCTGAAGGGGCTCAGCAGCAGAGGCCTGGAGCCCTGTGCAAGTTCCCCGAGCCCCAGGCTGGGGCCCCACCCCCTGGCTTCCCCCCCACACCTTGCCCCTAGACAACACCTGTGTGCCCGTGGTGTCCCGCATGTGGGGGAGGCCCTGAGGCCCAGGGCTCCCCGCCCCAACCCCGCCCGTGACCCAACGACTCGGGTTGGGAGCCAGTCCTGGGGTGGCTGGCTGTGTAGCCTGGCCCACCCTGAGCCCGTCCCCTTGGTGTGTGAGCCCTGCGGACCCGCGTCCAGATTCCCCGTTTCCCAGGCCCCTCCGGCCCGGGCAGTGGCCTCCTCCGCTGCCCCTGGGCACCCGCGGTCCTGCCGCCTCCCAGGGCCTGGGGCTCACGCTGCTCTTTGCAGGCCTGTGCCAGCGGCTCTCTTCCTCTTTTCTGCAGCAGGTGTGGGCTGGGCCTGGGCCCGGAGGGGGATGTGGCTTCCCGGGGCTCAGGTGGATCCGGGGCATTGAGGTGTTGGACCCACACAGGCGGCTCTAGGTGGGCCCGGGGGGCTGGTCCCCGCGGCGACACTGCGTCGGGCCCCCAACGGGAAGCCCCGGTCTGGAGACACCAGGAGGGCCGAGCCGTGGGGCTGGAGCTGTGGGCTGGTGTGGCGGGATGCGGGGCCCGGGCGCCCCGAGGAGCAGGTTTGTGTGGGTTGGAGAGAGCTCGCTGTGAAGGCCCAGGGTCTCTGCCGCCGCAGGGCCAGCCGGAGCCTCAGGAGGCTCTTGAGGGGCGAGCGCAGGTCCATGTGCTCCTGAGAGTGATGTGGATGGGATCAGCAGGCAGGAGAGCCGAGGCCCTTGGGGTCTCGGAGGATGCAAGCTGGGCTCTGAATCCCTGATGTGGGGCCCCGGCCCTTTCTCCCGCTGCCCTCACCTGTTGTTTGCTCACTAGTGGCCTGGCCTCCAGCCCCTGGGGCAAGCCTGACCTGAAATCCTTGCGGAACCAGGGGCTGCCAGGACGTTGTTGCCACCTCCAGCAGGTGGCCGGCGGGGCATCGACGGGCCCGGGGATGCCTCACGGCGGCGCACGCAAAGCCCACCCGGAGGCATCAGGAGCTGGTGCGGGGCAGGGGCGCCGCCGGCCTGGCCCTCCGAGGGCACCACGACCCACGCGCGGCCGACTCCCACGGCGGCGTGGGGAGTGGCTGGGGTGGTGGTGTCTGAAGGGGCTGGTTGCCATGGCTACCGTAGGGTTCTGAGGCTGTCATCTGGTCCCCGCCTCAGCCAATCGGCGCTGGGAGCCCGAGCTGCAGCCCGGAGCCCAGTCCTGCCCAGCCACCGCACCAGGAGCAGGGACCACGGCCTGGGGCGGCTGCAGCGCCGAGGCCGAGCGCAGCATGGCGGAGTGGGGAGGGCCGCGCGGCCGGAGCCAGCCAGGTGAGGTAAGCGGGCGCACCACCCACTGTCCCCGGCGGCCCTCGCACCCCGACCCGCGCACGCGGCCGCTGGGGCTGGAGACAAAGGGGCGCACGAGGCGGGAGCCCCGAAGCCCGGGGCCGCGTCCTTCGCTCGGATCCTGCCCCGAGGCCGCATCAAAGACCCCGGCCGGCTGGGCCCTCTCGCCACTGGGCCACAGGCCATGTCACGTCCGCGCCGTGCAGGGCGCATTTTTTTTTTTTAATTAAAAAAGAGAAAGAGAAAAGTGACAAGGGAGAAAAACATCCACCTGTACCGGGCAGCGGCCAGACCGCCCAGATCAGAGGTGCCAAATCCCATTACCCGGGCTGCCCGCGGATGGCGGGGAGGCAGCTGCGGTTAGGGGCTCGCCAGCGGAGATCAAAGGGGGCCACGCTTGTGTGTGTACGTGTGTGAGCGCACGCGGGTGGCCGGAACAGGCTGCAGCCTGGCGTGTCACCTGCCGGCCACCGCCGCCCTCCCAGGCGCTGGCGTCCCTGCTGCACCGGGTGGACGTGCTGGGGGCGGGCCCACCGCGGCCTGCTGCCCGCCCGCCTGGTCAGCTCCGCTCCTGACCTCCGCGCCCTGTACCTTCCCCTGGGACCTGGGCTCGCCCCACATTGGGTGCACGGGCCTGGAAGAGCACAGGCCTGGCCGGGGGCCGAGCCGGGAGCGGGGACAGGCAGCATCCGCCTGTGGAGGCCAAGAGCCCCCAGATGGCCTGGCCGGCGTGTCCCAAGGTTCAAAGCCTCTGTCGGCACGATTGTTGGGTTATTAGGTAAACTCTGCGAAGCAAATCTTTTAATCCACTGTGGCTAATCCAGTGCACTTTTGTTTGCTACGACAGATTCTGCAGCAACAAAGGGCCGAGGGACACCAGCATACATAATCACATACTTAGAGTGTGGCCGCGGTGGCTGCGGGGCTCCTAGGCAGCCGAGAGAGACGTCTCTGGACAGCGCAGTGGGGGGGGGGCAGGTGCACAGAGGCTGGGGGCTGCCCCGAGGGTGGGGGCCTGGGCGGGGGTACAGCCCCTCCCTGCCTGCCCTTCGCCAAGCCCCCCAGCTACCGGCGCAAGGGGTCCACGGGCTGCCCTGGTGCCTGGCACAACATGGGCTCAGCGAAGCCAAACGAGGTCTGGCAGGTGGAAGGAGAGGCTGCAGCAGTGGCAGGGGCCTGTAAGCTCCCGGCGCTGCGAGGGGTCTCGGGGATGAAGGGCTCAGGTCAGGCAAGGACATCCCAGGTGTCGGGACAGCAGGCACAGAGAGGAGGCCTGCCCAGTGTAAGGGGCTGCAACTACCAGAAAGGGGAGTGACCTGACACCATCCGGGACTCCGGGACTTCAGCCGCTGCTTTTGCAAGTCAGGCTGAGACCCCTCAGACACCACCCATCCTGGGAAAGTGGCGCTGGGGTCGCGGAGGCCAGCAGGCCCTCCCTGCCTGTACCTGAGCCCCAGGCTCAGTGACGAGGGGCCGCCCACAGACCTCTGGGGCCAGCGGGGTTGGGTCGGGACCCTCACTGTGCTGAGCACAGCTGCCCGCCCTGCCGTAGGCGGGCGGCGTGCGGGGAGGCGGGAGCTGGGTCAGCGCTGTGTCCCCAAGGCTCCCAAGGCGGGAGGCTGCTCTCCCCCTTCCCCCAGGCACCTGTGGCTGGCAGGGCCACGCAGGCCTCAGTGTAGTACTGTCCTCCTGTCCTTGTGTTGTGAGGACACAGCCCTGGTGGCAGATCTCTCTGGAGGCGCACTATGGGAAGATGACCTGCAGTGCTCCTCGGCCTGGAGCGACGGGATCCCCGGAGGACCCTGGGGGTGAAGCCCAAGTTGGGGCGGGTGTGGAGGGCACCCTGGGACTACTCACCTGCTGCCGTGCCCCTGCTTCCCTGTCGGCCTTGAGCACTGGCCCCTGACCCGTGGGGGCTGTGTCAGGTCTGCTGGGTGAGTCGTCCAGACAGGGGATGTGGGGATGAACGCAGCATCACCAGCTGGGCCTGGCAGGAGCCAAGTGCTGCAGTTCCCTACCTCTGCTGTGGTTCCTCCTCGCCTTGTTCAGGGGAGCCCGTGGCGGTTCTGAGGAGCAGGGACGGCTGGGCTGGGATGACACAGAGCAGTGTGAGAAGGTGACAGTCACCCAGGCACCCCCAACAGCGAGCTGATGCCAGAGCTGGCTCGTTTGACACAGGGCCCTGACCTTACGCCCTGGCTGGCCCAGTCTAGCTTTTGGGGGCGAGATCACCTCTGGGGTGTCTGCCTCAGCTGCAGCTGAAGACGCCAAAGAGCAAGACCGATGCAAAGTGCCAGCCTGGATGACACAGCCGCCCCCAGGGCAAGGGGACGGGGATCCCAACAGAGTGGGGACAGGCTGGGGCCTGCCCTGACATGCAGTTCCCCAGGCTGGAGTGTCCACGGGCTGCGCTGGGCACCTTCTCACTGGTCCCGGGACAGTTGGAGCAGCACCATTGTGCCTGGCGCGGGCAGCCGCGTCCTGTCCCAAGGGCCCAGGCATCCAGCTCGCTCCCACGGGGGCCCGCGGGGTGGTGCCCGCTGCATTTTCTCGGGCACAGAGCCTCTTCCTGAATGTGTAAAGGAAGTGCCGCAAGCACCCCCGATTCTGCGCTCCAACAATAACCTATTAGTGCCCTGGAATATGGGTGGTCAGCGTTCCCACCCTACGGGCACGAGCTCTGCACCCACAACAGCGGGCACCGAGCACGGGCCGCCTTGGTGCTCGGGCTCATGATCTTGGTGTGACGGCTGTGCATCCATCTGGGGTTTGCCGTGGGGACACAGGCGACACTGGCCCTCCCCCCCAGAGCTCAGAACTGACAGAGGAAAGACACCCAGGATGAGGGGTGGAGCCCGGGAGGCTGGAGTTGTGCCTCCAAGGGGGAGTCCTCCCCACCCCCCGCCACAGCCGGCCACAGCTGGATGAGCCCCCCCCCCCCCCCCGCCCCACCTCGCTTGCCCTCCCACCGCCACCCCCCACACCTGTTGGGGCAGACCCAGAAGGGGCTCGGCCTGAGACCCCTCCCTCCCTCCAGACGCCCAAATCCCATGGTCCCTCCCGCCCTCCCCTCCCAGGAAGACAATGGGGATGTGTCCCCAGTGTCCCATGTCTGCAGCCTGTCCTCTGCTGCTGGCTTTCATCATCACACATCAGGCCATGCTGGACGCGCCTCAACATACTCGGCGCATCTTGGATGGGTTCTTTTTTTTTTTTTTAATTTTTTAATTTATTTATGATAGGCACACAGTGAGAGAGAGAGGTAGAGACACAGGCAGAGGGAGAAGCAGGCTCCATGCCCCAGGAGCCCGATGTGGGATTCGATCCCGGGTCTCCAGGATCGCGCCCTGGGCCAAAGGCAGGCGCTAAACCACTGCACCACGCAGGGATCCCTTGGATGGGTTCTTTGAATCACTTTTTATGAGTGGTCTTCCTCAGCCAAGTGGACGAACACGTGTAAAGCTTCAAAGCTCGCTTTATTTCGAAGTATTCATTTTATGTCTACGTTGAAGAAAATGATTTCAGTTTTGCTTTTAAGTTTTTCATGTAGTTCCTGGAAAGCTGGAACAAATGTCCTCTACGGTTAATCCAATCAAAGCTTCTAGTGGCAAACCCTGGCACCCCCTTCACTGGAGGGGTGTGTGTGAAAAGAGGGCGCTCCATCAAGGAACTCACCTGTTCCGACATGAGGCTCCTGGGGCTCTTTGGTGTCACGTCTGGGTGGCTGACACAGTCCCTGCCAGGTCACCCCTGCAGCACCGCAGGCCCGGTCTCGCCTTCCCTGGGCTCCCTCCTCTGGTCCACGGCTGCTCTCACCCTGCTCAATCGCCCCTCTGTGCCCACAGTTCTAATCCGCGGTAGCTGGGCTGCTGCATTTCCTCCAGGCCTTCTGACTCCCTTCCTGTCCCTGCAGGGCGGGAGCCCCAAGGAGCCAGGGGCCCGAGGGTCCTGTTCTGGTCCTGGGGCCTGGGGACACCTGCCGCCATGGGCCAGGAGGAGGATGGACGTGGACACAACCCTGGGAGCCTGGCCCGGCCACAGCAGCAGCTCTGCAGAACCAAGGCAAGCACTGGGGACCCGTGTCTGGGAGCGGGGAGGCAACATGAGGGCCAGTGTCTGGGAGCTCTTGCTGTTTGTCCAGCCCACCCAGGACTCCCACACCCCACAGAGACCCCGCTGTGCCCAGAAGGCCACCCACTGTGTCTCATGGCCTCTAAGACTCCTAGGCTGAACGGGGTGGGGGAGGGGCTGCACTGGGGGGCCTGGGACTGTCCCAGCTGGATGCTGGTGAGAGTGACGCCCACTGTGATCACCCTAGTGGGGCCAGTGTGGGCTTGGTCGCATAGCCCCTCATCTATAGCCCCGACTGCCCCTGGGTGGACTGGGCCTTCGGTAGGCTGGCGATGCGTCCCTGGTTGTCCTCATCCCTCACTGCCCCCCTTTCCTATGACCCCCTGGGAGAGATGCTGTGCTGAGACTTGAGGCAGGCTGGTGTGCCCCTACACCTGCACACCCCAGGCAGGCACCACCCGTGGGCATCTGGGTGGGAGGCTGGCTGTGGCCCGTGGAGCCCCAAGCCAGAACTTGTGCACTGGTATGGAGCCCGAAAGATGAGGACGTGCTGGGAGGGCAAACAGTGTCCAGGAGAAAATGTGGTGGCCTGTTGGACGGGGGCACGGCCGTGCCCTGGAGACTGCAGGGAGCATCTCTTCAGGTGCAGGCCGCGTGGCTCTGTGGGGCACAGGCGCTAGGTGGTCACGGGGGTGCCAGAAGCAATTCCTGAGGGGCAGTGGTAACCTTTCAGTGCCACATCCTTCCCTTAGGCAAGGGCCTGAGGCTAGTGGACAAGGAGCTGGCCGGCTGGGCTTGCAGGTCGGGCAACAGCTGCTATGGCGACGGTGAAGGGCAGAGGTGGTGGTGCAGGAAGCCTTGCTCCCCAGGTTGCCGCGCCAGTATGACCTAGGGACAGCGTAGGAAGGAAAGCCAGGCGCTCGGCGGCCGGGCAGGGCGGCCCCGCAGCACCCGCAAGGGCTCCCGCCACGCCGCCGCTCGCAGTCCAGGCCCACCCAGACGCCGGCACCTGGGACCCGGCCCCGCCCACCAGACGGCCCCGCGCCCTCCCCGCGCCCGCCGCTGCCCCGGGCCCCGCCTCCGCGCCGTACGTCCCTGCAAGTGCTCGGGCCCGGGCTCTCGGCCCCGCCCCGACCCCGCCCCGGGCTACGTCCCCGTCCTTCTCCCGCCCCCACGTTCCGGCCCCGCCCAAGTCCCCGCCCCGCGCCTTCGCTCCGCCCCCCGCTCCGGCTGGTGCGTCACGTGCCAGCCCCGCCCCACGTATCCGAAAAGCTCGCGTCCTGGCCCCGCCCCGAGCCCTTGGCCCCGCCCTACGCTCCAGGCGACCTCACTTCCGGTCCGGATCACGCTTCGGGGCCCCGCCCCACACTCTCGGCCCCGCCCCCGCGCTCCGCCCCACATTATCGGCCCCGCCCCCCACGCTCGGGGCCCCCGCCCCACGTTCTCGGCCCCGCCCCACGATCTCGGCCTCGCCTCACGCTCTCCGGGTCCCGCCCCAAATCCTCGGCCCCGCCCCACGCTCCGGGCCCCGCCCCACGTTCCGGTTCCCGCCCCACGTTTTCGGCCTCGCCCCTACTCTCCAGGCCCCGCCCCACGTCCTCGGCCCCGCCCCCGCGCTCCGGGCCCCGCCCCACGTCCTCGGCCTCGCCCCCACGCTCCGGTCCCCCGCCCCGCGCTCCGGCCCCGCCCCCGCATTTCCGGGCGGCGCCGGCGGGGGCGCTCCGGCCTGGGCTTCGGCGCTCTGGGCTCGGGCTCCCCGCTCGGGGAAGCGATCGCGGCCGTCGCCGCCGCCGCAGGACCGGCCGGAGTCGGGCCGGAGCCGCGTCTCCCGGTGCAGGCGGGTGAGAGCGGGCGGCCGGCCTCGGCCGCGCCCCCGCGGCCTGCCCCGCGCCCGCCTCCGGGCCGCCGCGCCGCCGCTGCGATGGGGGCCGCCCGGGGCCGCGCCCCCGCCCCGTCCCGCCCGTCGCGCCGCCGCTGAGCGCATGGGCCGCGCCGCGCCGCTCCCGGAGCCGGGCCGGGGCGCCGCCGCCGCCGCCGCCGCCGCCGTCGCGGGTGAGTCGTGCGGGCCGGGCGCGGGCCTGTGGGCCACCCATTGTAGGCCGCGTAGGCCGGGCGGGCCGGGACCCGGAAGAGGGGCCGGCGGGTGCGGGCTCGGGGCGTGCGGGGCGGCGGCGGGGACGCGCTGCGAGGGCCGGGGCCGGAGTGGGGGCGGTGCGCGGGGGGGCGGTGCGCGGGGTCCCGGGGGGTGGGCGTGAGAGGGGCCGCCCGCGGGCCCGGCCGGGATGCGCGTGTGCAGGTCCTGGGGCGGCCCCGTGACCCCGGCCCCGCGCGGGGCTCCGAGGCCCGAACCCCGAACCCCGGGCACCGGCTCCGCTCCCCCGAAGCCCCTAGCGCCTCCCCGCAGCTTGGAGCTCAGTGCCCGCGGATCAGAGCCGCCCGGCCAGGCGGGGAAACTTTCTGCTTAGCGCTGAGGACAGAGGGGGAGCCCCAGTTCCCGGAGGGCCTCCCCGCGCAGGTCTGGGGTGGTTTATGAGGAGCCCCTGCCGCGCATCCCTGCCCCTCCGTTTTGCCCCCGTGCTCACCCTGCTTCTGCACGGACGCTCTCCGGACACTTGCTTCGAGGCCCTTCTTTGGAGAATACACATGGTCTGAACCTGGGCTCGGGTGCTAGCCCTGAGTTTCAGTTTTGAGAACCTGACATTCAGGCAGGAGAATGGATAGGCGCACAGAGTACGGCGTTGCTGTGGGATTTTCAGGAGGTGTGGACGCTTCTTGGGTTTCTAGAGTCAGAAATGTAAGTGGAGTCCTTTGGGCTACATTGGTCCTTGAGAATTTAGGAGGTGGAGGAGCAGATCACCTTGTGGAACAGCAGCCCTAAGCTTTTCAGGGTTTAGGTATCGGACAGGACAGCGTCACAGTCATGCTCTATTGCTTCCAGGCTCCTATAAGTCAAAAGTTATGAAGTTAGGTTTGAGTGGGATGAACATGTGTCTGTACGTGTAGCATGGAGCTGGCTGCCGTGGCTCCCCGGGGGTATGGCTCAGCAGTGACTACAGGAGATTTTAAATGCTCTATCAGCCTCGTAGAGCGTTCGTCGGAGCTGTGGAGGACTTTTATGGAATCCTTTTATTGATGGTGGTTCCAGGCTGTTGGCCAGATTCAAGGCTTGTGGGCATTTGCCTCTGACCTGAATTAACGTAACTGCTTTATGTGTGGTATGCACGTGCGTACACCAAAACGCTGGGTGTGCTTCTGCATGGGAACCCAGAGACGGCGGGAATCAGAGCATGTTTCCATAATGTCAGTAACTTGGAGAGGTGTCTGTGTGCTTCTGGGGCCACCGAGGATCGTCTGTCAGTTGACAGCCGAAAACAGATGTGAGTTATAAGAGCTATTTCTCGCGGGCAGTGAAAAATAGTTTAAAATGATTAGGGCAGGGGGGAGCCTTGTTCACACATGAATTAAAATGTTAGCTTTTAAAGATAGCCAGTTTTGTGAATAAAGGGGTAGATGTTGAGTTTTGTTGCTGTTTTTGTCCTGCTGTGGTTCAGCATCTATGGAGGGCTAACGTTTGGCATCTATGACAATTGTCATATGTGTTCATGCCAGTGAATAAGTGTGCTAGGTGTTGTGGGTCCCGCAGAAAGCATTTAATCAGGCTGCTACCAATAATTTACGCGGGAGATAGTTGCATCTCCAGAGCAGGCGATGGTGACTTGTAATTAAGCTCCCATTGAATTGCAGTGACTCGGTTCTTTCTCAGGACTGGCGAACTGGAGTGTGTCTGAGGGTAGGGCTCAGGGCGCCTGGCGTGGGCCCTCCTTCCTAAGAAGGCGTCCTGAACAGGAGGACATCAGGTGTCCATGAGCTGGTGTGGAGCTGAGACACCACAGGTGCCCATTCACGTTGACAGGGCTCAAAGAGAGGGACTTTGCCGTTGGAGTGGTCCGTGACAGCAGGGTGCCCGGCCCGTGGGCCTTGACCTTAAGAAGCAGGCTGTTCCTGCTGAGATTACAGACTGCCTGGTAGTTTTCATAAGTCATTAGCTGTAGAAATGTCACCCGGGGCACGTTATTGTGACCCGTTCTCTGTCTCTGGGGGCTTTTCGCTTCTAGCCATCAGTATCTGCTGGCACACGCAGTGCGTGCAGTGTGAGGATGCAGCTGTGGGGGTGGATCGCCTGGCGGCCCGGGTTGGTGAGCGGTGGCCGGGGAGGGCTGCCCTTGGTGTTGGTACCAGATTTAAGGTGTTTATTTTTCTCTCTCTGGCTTATTCAGTGCTCTGGGCGCTTGGAGCTGACACACTTCTCTCCAGCCCATTTCTAGCCATACCACCTTGAGGAGTGCGGGCCGCCAGGTGGGACGGTACAGCCTAGCTCGTGGGCAGAGCTCCTGTGGGGCATGTCAGGGAGGACCGGAGACCGTGAAAGAGTCCTGACCCGGGAGAGCCTTCCTTCACACCTGAGGGGGGCTTGTGGCAGCAGCCACGCAACCTGTAGTCCCCAACCCCCGAGAGGATGCGTAGTTGGGATTTGAGCTTATGGAGGTGAATCACGCGAGCCGTGTGCCCGCTTAGTTAAACGCGAGCCGTGTGCTCGCTTAGTTAAAAGCTGTGATTGCATCTGGACTTCATTTTCTTTTTCCGGGTCTCCTCTGTTCTTCAGAATACTAAATTGCCATTTGCTCTCAGGACGGCGCTTTTCTTATAGGTGAGGTCAGAGGCAGCTTTGTGGTGGAAGCATGTTTTAAGATTGTCCACACTGTGATGTGGGATGGCCACCATGTGTGTGGGGAGTCCTTGGGTGACTGAGTGGAAGGGGCTGAAGCTGACCCACCCCTGTTCTTACGGGTGTGTGTTGAGAGCTCATGGAACACGTCCTTGCGTGTTTGCACACATTAGGAGGCATATGAGGCGTGCAGTGACGGGGTAGGCAGAAAGCACAGCGGCTGTGGGCCTACAGATGTGGGGAGCAGATGACTACCTGCTGTGTGCTGGGCGGCGAGCCTGCCTTTCCGTACCTGAGTATCACCGCGATCCCGCATCGCAGGTAGGGCGGTCATCCTCATCTTACGTGTGAGGAACCGGCTCTTGTCCCAGTTTTTGCAGCCCGGAACACTAGAAAGCACATCTCTTTTCTCTGGGCCTGTTGGCTTCCCAGAGCTTGCAGGGAAGGGCTGGTTGTGGCTGAGATGGGAGGTCCCCAGGCTGCTTGTCTCCGTGATGTTCTGGCAGAAAGACACCTGAGGGGAGTGGCACTCTGTGTCCCTGTTCTAGGCGTTCATTTTTGAGATCCAGAGACGTACCTGTGGTTGTAAAAGTTCCCACAAATTGTTTTAATATAGCATAAGTCTTGTGACAAAAGACTGAAAATTTAAACTGAATTTCTGGCTTTGAGTTCGAGTGGGAGGGCATCATTACGAGTCTTGTCTTGAGAAAACCTCTGTGGTCATGTTTCCATGGACCCACTTTTCCTAATCCTTGTCCTCTTAATGGTTTCAACAGGACAGATTGATTCACTTTGGAGCTGTAAGTACTGATGTATTAGGGTGCAGCGCTCATTGTTCATTGACGCACAGAGTCCCAAAATGAATATCCAAGAGCAGGGTTTCCCTTTGGACCTCGGAGCAAGTTTCACCGAAGATGCCCCGCGCCCCCCAGTGCCTGGTGAGGAGGGTGAACTGGTGTCCACAGACCCCAGGCCCGTCAGCCACAGCTTCTGCTCCGGGAAAGGTGCCGGGGTCAAAGGTGAGACTTCAGCAGCCACTCCGAGGCGCTCCGACCTGGACCTGGGGTACGAGCCTGAGGGCAGCGCCTCCCCCACCCCGCCATACTTGAAGTGGGCTGAGTCGCTGCACTCCCTGCTGGACGATCAGGACGGGATAAACCTGTTTAGGACTTTCCTGAAGCAGGAGGACTGTGCTGACCTGCTGGACTTCTGGTTTGCCTGCAGCGGCTTCAGGAAGCTGGAGCCCTGTGACTCGAACGAGGAGAAGAGGCTGAAGCTGGCCAAGGCCATCTACCGCAAGTACATCCTCGATAACAACGGCATCGTGTCCCGCCAGACCAAGCCGGCCACCAAGAGCTTCATAAAGGACTGCATCGTCAAGCAGCTCATCGATCCGGCCATGTTTGACCAGGCGCAGACGGAGATCCAGTCCACCATGGAGGAGAACACCTACCCCTCTTTCCTCAAGTCTGATATTTATTTGGAATACACGAGGACAGGCTCGGAGAGCCCGAAGCTCTGTAGCGACCAGAGCTCTGGGTCAGGGACGGGGAAGGGCATACCCGGCTACCTGCCCACTCTGAATGAAGATGAGGAATGGAAGTGTGACCAAGAGCAGGACGAAGATGGTGGCAGAGACCCTGCTCCCCCCGGCAGGCTCACACAGAAGCTGCTTCTGGAGACAGCCGCCCCGCGGGCCTCCTCAAGTAGACGGTACAGCGAAGGCAGAGAATTCAGGTGAGTCAGATGCAAGGCGGCCGTGTTTGTGCTCACGTCCGAGCCCTGGACAGCTGGCAGGCACAGGTGGCAGCCAGGAGTGGTCTTGTGTCCCAGGCCCCACGTGGGCGTGCTCCTGCTGCTGGGGGTGAGTGTGGCGGTGGTTCTTCCTCTTGCTACTTTGATGCTTGCAGCACATGGTTTTAATACTTGTGAGTTGAGGGCCCTTTGGCAAGAACAGTCCCAAGTGTACGGCCTTGTATGTCACGAAGAGCCTCGGATGTCCCAGAGGTCGTGGCGTTCAGACTTGGCCTGTGGCGTGCAGGGGGACTTACCCAAACGTGTAATCCTCTTGGCTTAATACAGAGAGGAGTGGACGTGGAAAGCGTCAGTGCGGCCAGAATTCTGGATGGTTGTCTTTCGTGATCATTTCCCCAGATTTCTCCTGGAGGTTGGGCAGTGCTGGTGGGGAGGCTGCCGCAGCAGGTGGCCACAGCGCTCTGGGGCCTTCTCGGGTCGTGCTGGGGGACCCTGTCCCCTCTGCTCACGAAGTAAGAGCTGTGGTGCGGCCCAGTCCCGGTGGCGTTTGATTTTGTGCTTAGCACCTGCGCATGTGGCACCTTGCGACGTGGGAGGTGCCCGTGGTGCTGTCGAGAGGCTGTTTGCTGTTGGGAAACCTGGCTCCTCGTTCTTTCCTCGACTGTCCCTTCTGTGCTTACCGGAGACTTCGCTGACGTGGGTTGGAGCCCCTCACCAGTGCTAGCCGCCGTTGGCAGGGCGCTCCCGTTACCCACTCCTCTCCCTGCACTGAGGACACCTGCGTGTGAAACTTTGGGAGCTGGGAACCTGCGTGACCCCTGCTGATTCAGTCAGGAGTCCGAATCCTCTCCCCTCCCGCGCTGCTGTTAAAACCTGCTGGTTTCGTCAGGCTCATGCTGGAACAGAAACTGGCTGAACGTTCATGAGGTTTAAGGGTCACGTAAATGGTGCGGTTCAACATACGCCATTTAAAGTAATGTTTATGTGTCTTTTGCTCATTGTCTCGAGCTTAACGTTATTGATATAGCAAGCTTTTTAGGACAAGACTTGCCGTAAGTTTATTCTAAATAAGGCCAGTAACTACCATGGTTCTTAAAACCCAACCTAAAATGATTTAATTAGAATAGTTTTAAGATGGAATCAAACTCGAGGCCTGGGCTTCAGGGGAAAATTATTTATTTATTTATTTTTATTTTATTTTAATTTTTTTTTGAAAAATTTTTAGTTAAATTCTGATTTATTTCTTTGTTTCTTTTTTCTTTTTGAGTGTGTATCTCTCGATTTTATTTTATTTATTTTATTTTTTTGATTTTTATTTTTAAATAATCTTATACCCAGTGTGAGGCTCAAACATACAACCCCAAGGTCAGGAGTTGCATACAATCCTGACAGGGCCGGCCAGGTGCCCCAGTGCTTGGGAATCCTTTAAATCAGAAATCAGAATTGGCTAGCTCAGTTGGTGGGGCGTGCAACTTCTGACCTTGTGGTTGTGAGTTTGACCCCCAGTTTGGATATACAGATTATTAAAAAACAACAACAACAACAACAACAACAACAAAGTTTCCTGAGTCTTATTCTGTATGTTTTTCAGTTCCCGGTCTTTTTTTTTTTTTTTTAATTTTATTTATTTATTCATGAGAGACACAGGGACACAGGCAGAGGGAGAAGCAGGCTCCATGCAGGGAGCCTGACGTGGGACTCTATCCTGGGTCTCCAGGGTCATGCCCTGGGCCAAAGGCAGGCGCTAAACTGCTGAGCCTCCAGGGCTGTTCTTCATTCTTGATCTCTCTCTTTTTTTTTAATATTTATTTATTCATGAGAAACACTTGAGAGAGAGAGGCAGAGACACAGGCAGAGGGAGAAGCAGGCTCCATGCAGGAAGCTTGACATAGGATTCGATCCCGGGACCCCAGGCTCGCCCCCTGGGCCAAAGGTAGGCGCTAAACCATTGAACCACCCAGGGATCCCCTTGGTTCTTGATCTTAAGCAGCAAGTTTGCTTTTAAATTACTAGAGTATGTTGGCTTTACTTGTTTAAGTGCATTGAGCTGTAAGGACTGTGGCACATTTTAGTTTTGGCTTGCCTGTCGTGGAGCTGCTGGTGCGGAGGAAGCCAGGAGTTGGGAGTCCCAGCCGCAGTTGAACCGCATTCTGCTCAAGGTTGGCTCTGATACTTTAGTGAGTGGAAGATCTCTGATGTCACGGTCATCGTTTACTAGCACCGACAGGTATGAGGTCCAGCACATTCTGCTTTGTCCTGCCGGGGTGTGCAGTTGGGTGCACTAGGCTGGGAATCACAGGAAATCCAGCCTACCCTCCCTTAAACCGTGAAGGGGATTAGGTAACTTAAATCAATGAAAAGGTTAGAGGCAGGGCCAGTTTCAGATGTGGTTTGATCTGGACTCCAGCCAGTTTTCTTTTAAAGACTTTATTTTTTATTTTTTAAGAGCAGTTTCAGGTTATCAGCAAAAATGTAGAGAGGTTTCCCGTCCCCCCCAACAGCCTCCCCCACATCACTACCCCTCACAGAGCAGTGTGTCTGTTGCAGCTGATAACCCTACATCAATACCACTGCCACCCAAAGCCTGGAGTCTCCACCCGGGTGCGTGCCTGGTGCCGGACGTGCTGCGGCCTGGATGGTCGTGCGATGACACGTATCCGCCACTGTCACCGTCGTGTCGGCTGAGTAGGGTCACCGTCCTGCACACCCTGTGCTTAGCCTGCTCATTCCCCCCACCCCACCCCAGGCAACTGCATTTGTCTCCCCCCCGCCCCCCCCCGTCACTTTTGCCTTTTCCGGAATGTTCTGTGGTTGGAATCACACAGCGTGTGCCTTTTCTCAGTAGCTTCCTTCACATGATAACAGAAGGTCCCTCCATGTCTCCGCACGGCTTCTGGGTGGTTCCTCGTGAGCGCAGGTGGCGCTCTGTGGTGCGGACGGACTCCGTTCCTTCGTGCGCTCGCCTGCTGAAGGCCATCTTGTTGCCCCAAGTTCTGGGAATCATTAATAAAGCTGCAGTAAACCTGTGGTGCGGTTTTTGGTGTGGACAGAAGTTTTCACCTCCTTTGGGTAAACGCCGTGGAGCACGATTGCCGGGTCCTAAGGGGAGCGCGCGTATCAGTAAGAGCTGCCGCTTCCCTGTCCCTGCCCTCCGTGGCCTCTGTGCTTGCAGCTTGGGGGAGGCTGGAGCAGCACCCACGGGCTCGGGTTCCCTGGCTTGGTAGCACACGCTGCCCCCAGCATTCACGGGAGGTCCTGCGCTTGGCTCTGCAGGCCCGGGGGGCGGTGTGTGTGCCTCCGTGTCCTGGCTGTTCCAGCATAATCTTGGTGCAGGGGCCCAGGACTGTGCTGCTGGGCTTAACACCAAGTAGGGCAAACCTGGAGGGACGTAAAGTGCCCACTGCCCCAGTGGTGGATGTGGTCCCGCAAAGGAATATTGAGGTGGAGAGGACAGGGAAGGGGTGGCGGTGCTGGACTGGAAATCTCCTGACTGGGGGAGGCACTTCTGTGGGCAGCAGGTGCCTCTCCTAAGCATGGACTCTGCATGGAGGTGTGTGTGGGGTGATTACTTAGGACAGGATGACCGCAGGGTCTCTTGAACCTGAGCCCCATGGCTCCGTCGGTCCTACCTACAGCCTGGGCTCCTCCGATTGTGCTCTCTGGTGCAGTTCAGCCTTCCTGACTGGCCCTGCTGTTCCCTGTGTCCCCATGGGAGGCCTGAGCGTCAGGCTTCATTTGGCCATGTGTGCGTGCACGTGGCTGTTCTTTATAATACACCCGATCTGTGAAAGGTTAAATGAGCTTTATACTTAGGTTTCTGTCAAAGCTCAGAAAATACCGGTGCCCCTGGCTTTTTCTGGATTTATCCTGCTCACCTGGGGTCACTTTGAGCCCCTGGGTCAAGCAATCCTAGAATTCCTGGCTCTCTGCGTCTCCATGCAAATTCTCTTCTGTGGGAGTCTTGATGCAAATTTTCCAGTCTGTTACCGTAGTCAGTGAACTAGTCAGTGAACTTTGAATGTAACTTTGGTTCACACCCACCATTTTAACTGGTTTGAATTGACAAAAGGTCCTCTGCTGATGCATGTGATTTGGCATTAGGGCCCAGGGGCTGTGAGACGTTAGCTGGCAGCTCCTGTTTTGCTTTCCCATCAGAAGTGTGGCCTGGGGGTGCCTAGGCCCCCGCTGCTCCCTGTTCAGCGGGGACTCTGCTCCCTCTCCCTCTGCTCCTCCCCCTGCTTTGTGCTCATTTGCTGTCTCTCTCTCAGATAAATGAATAAAATCTTTTTTTTTTAAAGTGTGGCCTGGCCCCCCAAGTGCAGTCAGGGACTATGTGGGAGGGACTGTCTCACGTTCTCTTCTTGGGCCTGGTTGGTCACCTGCTCAGGCCTCCACCACCCACACTTAGCAGTGGCTGCTGGGTTCTATGCCGGACATTCGCAAATGCTTTCCATTTCTCTTTACTACCTTTACCTTCCTCACTGGCTGAGAAGTTCCCTAAGGACCGCGTCTCAGCTACTTACTTGTGTGTTCCTGGTGGGCCAGCCCGGTGAGGAGCTCCTGGTCGGGGCTGGTCATCGTGGTCATGACCAGGAGTGGACCATGGGTGCCGTGCATAGTAGGAGCGACTCAGCATGGAAAGGGCTGACAGCCAGGGCACCCGGCTGGGTGGGACTCTTTTTTTTTTTAATTTATGATAGTCACAGAGAGAGAGAGAGAGAGAGAGAGAGAGAGAGAGGCAGAGACACAGGCAGAGGGAGAAGCAGGCTCCATGCACCGGGAGCCCGACGTGGGATTCGATCCCGGGTCTCCAGGATTGCGCCCTGGGCCAAAGGCAGGCGCTAAACCACTGCGCCACCCAGGGATCCCTCGGTGGGACTCTCGATCTTGCCATGGTACACTTGAGCCCCATGTTGGGTGGAGAGGTTAGTTATCAATAAGAAAAATGCATATATATATTTTTTAATTTATTAATTCATAAG